CCATGTCTTTGAAAGAATCCAGGAGAGCTGAAGGGATCCAGGTAACAGTTGCAAAAGCAACTTAGAGTGCTTTAATCTATAATACCTGTTGGCAACAGCTTGAAACAAACCACTTCCAACTACTTTCAATCTTTCCTTCTCTTTATTGAAAATTTCCAGGAAAAAATTGGCTATCTTGGCCAGGAGAGCAGAGAACTCCTTGAACAGCAGTCCTACAAAGCCTGCAGGCACTGAGATCTGATTAGATCCCCAAACTAATATCAATTAGATGGTGCCCAGGAGAACTGAGGGTAGATATTCCACAGGCAAAAAGAGACCCATGAGAGTCCTGCATCCTTTGTCAAGGGGTTTGAACTTTATCCTATAGGCAGAGGGAAGCCAATGGAGGATGTAAGGATGGAGATGATCCATGCCTATGTTCTCTTTGGGAACACAAGACACTGTGGAACTGTAACAAGTGAGACCATAAAATGAATGTCAATGGTTTTGTGTCTAGGATACAAAGGATATATAAAATTCTCATGACACTTATTGGCAGACAGTATCAGAGGATGTTAGAAAGAGGAGTAAATTTAGAAATCATTCAGTGAATCCAATTTCATCTTACAGGTTAACTGGAAAGAGGCTCAGCATCGGTATCTTTCCTTGGGTCACAAGTCTACTTATCAGCATTCAGGACTTGGACTAATTTTATTTAATCATCAACACCATCCTGTCAAGCTACTGTCAAAAAAGCCTATTTTTAAAATATCTTTCTTCACGAAAGTATTGGGCTCTAACACGGATTCTGTGGTGCCTTTGATTATGTCTGTACCATACACAAAATACAGGGCATTTTTCTCATCATTACTTAAAATGCTTAAGAAATAATGGTGTCTCCCACTTTCTCCCACCATTTCATTTATTCAGCAAGAAACTAGTAAGTATCAGGCACTGTACTGGCTGAGGGCACAGAGTAGCAACAGTATTGCTAATAATAATATGAACATAATGGCCATTATTTACATTGCAGTTACTAGGTGCCAGATTATATTCTGAGTGCTTTTCATATAGTCATTCACTTAATCCTCATAAAAACTGGTAGGCTGGCATGGGGAGTGATTGTTTATGGGTTCAGTGTTTCTTTGGGGGGGCAATAAAGATGTTCTAAAATTAGATTGTGGGACTGGTTTTGCCAACTGTAAATATACTAGAAAACACTGACTTGTACACATTAAATGGGGGAATTTTATGATATCTCAATTATATTTTAATAAAGCTGTTTAAAACCCAAGATGTAGACTATACAGAGAAACAATTTGAGGCACAGGGAGGTTACATCATTTGTCCAAGGTCACAAAGCTATAAAGTGACAGAGCTGGGATTCAAATACAGGGGGTCAGAAGTAGATTCTCTATATTAAATATACAGTCCCTGACCTGGAAGAACTCACAGTCTGGAGCACATTTACAAACATGAGGCATAAACATCTTGCCCTTGTATCTAAATTACACAGATCCATTAAACACGCACACTCTGGCGAAAAAAGGAGAAATGTACAAAAGAAAGCCAATGGATGACAGAGTGCCAGGTACCTGTAGATGCGTCATCATATCTAAAGCCTGATTCTGCTCCTGATGGTGTAATTAGGAGAAAGCATCCTAAAATAAGCTGCATCAGAAAAGAAGCTAAGAGGGAGGTTTCTCACTGTCCATTAACATGAGAAGCTGAAGTTGCCTTGTGTTTGCATGTGCATGTGCCTGTGCATGCGTGAGCATGTGAGGATTTGCGTGTATGTGTTTTTGCTGGAAAGTTCCCCTCCCGGAAGTCATACCAGTTCTTCATTGTATGCTCAGAACCTGGTGGGGCACATGGGAGATAAATGGATGATGATGAATGAATGACTCTCAACTAGTTAAAGAATAGCTTAAATTGATCTCCAACTTCCTGGACTTTAGAATGGCTCAAATCTAGACCATAAAGAAAAAGGGCTGCTTGTGACTGGAGGTATATGGGCATTAAATGACTATTAATTAGTCATTTGGGGAGTGCCTGGGGTTCATGAGATCACAGCTCCAAGCCTGTATAGGTCTAGTTCTCACATGCAAAATCCTTTTCAAGACCCCAACCTCTAGTTGTCTTGAAAATGTATTTAAGTGGTTATGAAAAGGACTGGGTAAGAGAAAATGGGTGGCTGAGCTCAAAATCTGTTCTACTTCGGTTTGCCTGGATGGCTCAGTCAGTTGGGCGTCAGCCTTCGGCTCAGGTCATGATCCCAGGGTCCTGGGATCTAGTCCCACATCGGGGTCCCTGCTCAGCGGGGAGCCTGCTTCTCCCTCTGGCTGCCGCTCCCCCCGCTTGTGCTCTCTCTCTCTCTCTCTGACAAATACATAAAATCTTTAAAAAAAAATCTGTTCTACTGCAAAAAAAAACCTCACAGTATATTCCTAGTGATGGTGAGTGAAGGGCAATGCATTTCCTTCAACAGTATATATTCAACCTATTATTACAACCCAAACACAGCAAGCAGAAGTAGAAGATAACCTAAACCAGAATGCAGGGCCCACATTTCAGTTCCACAAGTTGTCAGAGACTGCTCAAAATTCTTCTCAACAGCAATAATGCTCAAGCCCTCTGCTAACTGCTGACGACTAAGCTATGTCCTCTTGTGCTAAAGGAGTTCACAGAATTGGTGCTTCTACCTCCTCAAAATTTTTAGAATTTCTTTATCATTACTCAGCTGAATATTCTTCACATTGGGTAACAAATTATGAACGTGACATTCATCAGGCCCCAAATGGAACCACTCTTGAGAGTCTGTGAAAAGCCAAGAGAGCTACACGAAAACTACAAACATAGATTTTCTTCCTCGAGTTCAAGCAAAAAATTCTACTTGTCACTGAAATGACAAAGAAGATAAATTTTAAATAAGGTAATAAATACCAAGTAATTTATATTTAGCTTTTTAACATTTGAAGAAAAAAGATACGCTCTCTACCCAGATCTGATTCCTCGATCTGCCACAAACTTTAGACATTCTTCTGTTAGCTTACTTATTGTACGTATTACAGGCAGAAGAACCAAGCAGTTAAGAGCTAGTACGTCTATATAATCTATTATCCAAACCAGAGCACTTCTGAGAGTGAATAAAGTCACAACAATTACATTGGGACAACAGAAGTAACCTGGGACCATCCCAGGCAAACTGAGACATACAGTCACCCTATTAAAAGCTTGTGCTCTGGTGTCAGAATTTGATGGTGGGCAGGGAGAAATAATTAAAGGTTTGGAATAGTGTTGTTAAATGACCATAACTTCAGGAAGCTTAGTACAGAAGTGGGTTTGGGCTGGAATGGACCAGACAGACATCGAGGAGAGAAAGCCCAAGAAAACATTCTTATGGCACTAGGAAAGAAATAACAAGAGGCCAAGCTAGGACGGTGGAAATGAAAAGAGAAAGCCTATATAAGAGACCAGGCCATTAAAGAAGTCAGATAGATAGGTTGTAATACTAGTCTAAGTAGTTAGAAAATATTAAATACACCTTAAGGGACTTGACAGGTAAATGGCAGGCATAGCAGAGCACCTGATAAGAGGAAAAACCAAGGGAGCTCAGACTCTAGGGCAAAAGCCATTTGCTCCCTATCTCTTCTCATACTTCCTGTTTGCATCAGTGCCAGGCTCACGGGGGTGTGCTTCATTCCAAGGAGAGCTGGAGCCCCCCACAGACCGCTCGATGCAAGGCACAGGTAAGCCAAGAGTTTCCTTCACCGGGAGGGTAATAAAATGACACCAACAATTGCTCCAGACACCACTTGGTGGCACTAGTACCCTGAAATGATTGAAATGCAACCTGCCATTCTTGATCTTAAGCTGGAAACCTTGGACTCTTAAAAGGTCTAGCCAACCCTCAAGTTCAATTTCTTCCATGATTATCTGACTTCTTCCAGAACTTTCACATCCTCCTTTATCTCCATCTATGGAGATATGTGTTATTTTAATGATCTCTCATTATTTCAAAAATTCCTTTGTATGCATATACACATATAATTTACATAAATGTGACCACCTCTTTCAACCACACTTTTCTTATGTAACCTTACCTACCACCACCATAATTCCTCCCACCCCTTCTAGACGATCCATCTTAACAGCCTAGAATACATCCATCACCATCTAACCTTATACAAATGTGTGTATAGACAAAAGAGATATATATAGAGAGAAATGTATGCCTATAAAAGTTTTTTTGATTAATGATTTAGAAAATGGACTCATAAAATGTACTCTTCTACACATCTTGCTTTTCTCCCTCAACAGTATCTTGTGGTAATCCTTCTAAGCAACGAGTATTGCTCCAATTCACTTTTTGGGGATGTGTTATGTAATATTCCATGGTATAGACATACATTAATTTATTCAACAACTGTCCCTTATTAAACGGTATTCGTTTGGTTTCAATTTTTTGTTGGTTTTTTCTTTTTTTTGCCACAATAAACAATCCTGCTGTTGAAATCCTGTGTTTATATCCTGTATGGTACAGCTCCTGTCTCCATGAGTTAAATTCCCCAACAGGGAAATGCTGGATTGAAGGGTAAGCATACACTTTCAATTTTAGGAAATGTTGCTAAATTTACGTCCAAAAAAAGCTCTTTAAAATCCTTATTCCCACCAGCAAAATGTGAATGACAGTGCCCTTTTCCTCACATCTCCACTAGCAATGTGTATTGTTGCTTTTTTCTTTTGCTGCTTGATGGATATAAAGTGACAACTTATCATTAATTAACTTTTTGTTTTCCCGGTTGGCTGTGATCTCAAGCATCTTTCCAGGTTTTTTTTTTTTTTAGCCATTTTCACCTGATTCTTCACAGCTTTTGCCCAAAGCAAGGATATTTTAATGGGATTTTTGCTTAGTAAAGAGGCTAGAAAAAATATTGCTAAAACATTAAAGAAAAGAGAAAAATAGGTTTTATCATGGTCACTATTATCTATATTTGATTTCTAACACTAAAAGCACTTGGGTGCTCAATTCGGCAGCACATATGCTAAAATTAGAACAATACAGAGAAGATCGCATGGCTTCTGCACAAGAATGACATGCAAATTTGTAAAGCGTTTCATAGTTTAAAAATACATACAAACATACATGCATGCATAAATACATACATAAAAGCACTGGGGTGCCAGAAAATAATCTTGTGAGTACTATTCAATTCTGGAATGTCTACTCTAAGGGCAGAACATGATTATTTCTCTCTTCATAAGGAATTGACTCACTGTTAGTGCTTTGTTTCTGACTGGACATTGTATTGCTGTATATGTTTAAGTAGGACTTGGTATTAAATAAAACCAGTCACATTTATTTGAGTGTCATTTAAAATACTTGTTTTAAAAAAAAAAGAACAAAAATCAGTAGAGAAAGAAATTGTATTTTTAAGCTTCTAAGAAGATTTTATAAACAATGGAGCCCAGAGAACAAAAAAAGTCATAAAATGACTTGACAGTGTCCTTTTAAGTGAACATATGTGAGTTGATGCATCCATGTGTGTCCACATATGTCCTACATATGCACAGCCTGCTGCTAACCAACCAGATTGTTCGATGTGTATGTTTACTGTAAAACAAGCCGAAAGTGTTTGGTCTCTTTGTTAGAGAAACAGCTCATAATTTCAAGTATACAAACGTCAGTTGTTTCTCATTTCTTTTTTTTTTTTCCAAGCCAAATGAGCTGTTGATGCCCAATTTGGCAGGATCCTAACTGAGGCTGACTCTTGGCCAGCTGCAGAAACCCGGTCCTGAAAGTTCAGGAAAATTTTTACAAGAATAAGGAGCTTTTCCTAATGGCTCCCTAAACCAGAGGAAGTTTCCTTAGAGCCTTAGCCAGCTTTTTCCCACTCAGTATCCCAAAGGATAATCACTAACATTGTTTTGGATACTAATGGATGGAGTTAGGGTGTGAAATGAGGGTCCTCCCTGACTTTGGTCAAATATTCTTCCAAAACCCACTGTTAACCGAAAACATCCTGGGGAGGTAGAGATTATTTCTGTGATAACAACTTTATCTATGAGTCCTCAGTATCTCATCTTTCATTTCAGCATTTAGACAGTGCTCTGCAGCTTAAAATGGTGAATGAAGTTTGGACAATTTCCAGTTGAAGATGGAGCCTTTGGATGGATTAGACCCCTACTTCTACAATCACAGCATTGAACCCAATTATCACTATCGGTATCCTCTACTACTCACATTAATATTCTCTGAATAGCAGGCTGTTGTGAAAAGAGCTCATGCTCTGGAGTGGAAGAGTCTGTCCAGTCCTAGCTCCATTGTTTCCTGGCTTTGTAGCCATAGTAACTTCATGCTTCCAACTTCAGTTTCCTTATCAGCTGTATGGAAATAATAATATGGATTTCCTAAGTTTCTGATGAAGATTAAATGAGATAACCTATATAAAGGATGATGCACAGTACTGGGGACACATTAAGTGCTAAATAAATGTGAATGCCCTTCCTCTCCATTTCTACTTTCCTCTCTCTAGTCCCTTCAAAGAGAGAGAGACCTGAGAACCAGGAGTATTTCTTGGTCAAGGAGATAATCCAAAAGTCCCCAATCCCAAGGATGGGGGGTTGGGGTAGAGGAGAGGCTGATTTCAACAGAAAAAATTCATTTAAAATGTTAAAAATAGCAAAAATAAAATGTTCTCTTTCGATATCATTGAGACTAGACCGATAAGTATGAGTATGTATTCATAAATGCATACCCATTTATTTAACACCTACTCTGTGTCTAGAATAGTGCTTGACAGAAGTGTCCATAAATACTTCTTAAATGATTGAATAAAGACCAAACCCTTAAAGCACCATCGTAATTTCTTCTCTGATGCTCAGTTTCCTGGGATTTATTTATTAGTGATGATTCTCTGCTTTTCAAAGTGAATGTCATAGTAAGGAAGAAGTATGGGTATCTGTTGTCACTGTCTTACTCAGCCCCTGAAAACAACCAGAAGCATCCCATCCTCCTTTTAGTCTGACAACACAGGCTCTTTCTACATCAAACCACCTCTCATTCCCTCTTTCCCTTCCTCCATTCAGCCTTTCAAAAGCTGTCCAGTATCTGGCCACAACTGAAAAATACAATTCCTCTTGCTGCAGGTGTCCATGTGCTTGGGGCAAAATGAGCCACTGTTGACAGTTGTAAAGAAAGGGAGAACAGCTGTTTGCATCTGGAGATGGGGTAAGAAAGAGAGAACAGCTGGTGGCAGCTGTGGCAGACAAGAAAGTAAGCAAGTTAGCAGCTGCTGGTAATTCAGAATCTACTAGACTGCCCGGAATAATTGAAATCCAGAAGAAGCATGTGAGACTCGACTTAACTGCTTTACTGTATCCTGCTCTTCATTAGATCCGACTTGTCCTTCATTAGAGACATTCCCATGATAGCCACATGAGGACTCCCAGTAGGAGTATCAGTCCCTCCTCCTCATCCATAACCCTTTGGAAAATCAAACCAAGAAAAGTAAAATGACACAAACGTTACTTCCAGTAAGCCCACGCTTATTTTTACAAGAAGGAAGCAGTCTATGGTTGACAAGGGAAGGAATGTCACCAATGATGGATCTATCATAAGAATGGGCAAAAATAATTCTTTCTATATTACAAGAGATTATGGTCATTTTGATGATGATCCCACACTTCAGAATTCAGTAGGCTGACATAAAAACGTGATAACTTAAATGTAATATAAGCCTAGAAAAATACATTTTAAAACCCTGTCCGTGGTTTCAATGTTTCTTTTCTCATATGCATGTAATCCTGTGAATGTGTATACATAGGAATATTTCCCTCTATTTTTTATTTTTAATAAAAAGAAGAGAAAGACGTCTTTACATCATGCATCTGGTGACAAAATGTTTGGTTGGTTTTTGTGCTTCCCACTTCTAGTCATCTGGAATTCTAAGATAAACTGAGAGACCCAAAAGTATGTCATCTATTTCTCATCTTGTTCAACACAGAAGAAAAGCATCTCATCACTCCAATTTATAGAATTTCAGCTCTTTAGTTTCTAAGGTAAAGTTCAAGAGAAGAAAAAAGAAACTATCACAATGTTATATACTAATAAATTTTATACAACCGAATGCCCTCAAATAAAAGAATAATTAAGGAAATTATATGGTAAGCTATCTGTATTTACAGAAATGATAATTTTGTAGATAGTGATAGGGAAAATGCTTGTGATGTAGCATTCATGGAGAAGTCTGCTAAGATCATTCACACATTAAAAGTTAATGCAAAATATACACCATGATTGAAACTAAGGTAAAAGAATAGGCATAGGACAATATAAAAGGAATTTGTTAAAATAGAAGAAGCCAAAAGAAGATAGCATAGGAGGAATCTTAAATTTTATTTCTTTTATGTTTTCTTTTTGTTGATAGATTATATCAGTATAAAAGATCTAAATAATAATTAAACTATTATGAAAGTTACTAATAAAATTGCTAAACTATAAGCTCCATAAGGACTGGGTCCTTCCTTGTTTTTAATCACCTTTATCTCCAGTGCCTGTCACAGTGCCTAATTACCAACAAATATTTGTTGAATGAAGAAGTCCATGAAATGAGTGAGTCATCTGCATTTTTAAATGACACTTGTAAAAGAAAGAATGAAACCATTTGCACCAATGGCATATGTATGACTGAGAAAAGAAGGATGGCTCTACTCAAAAGATCAAGTAGAAAGATTCCCAAAGATGTTCACTCACAGCATTTTGAAATCAGCCCTATCCTGCCTGGTGAGATATGTGGCCCAGCCAGACCTAATGAGCCCCCACATTCTGAATTGGAAGGGAGAGAAACTAGCCAGTGCAAATATGCTTTCAACTCTAAGATAGGACTGTGAGTTGGATTAGGAGGAAAGGGAGAGAGAGTAGTTGCCAAAATACTAATGTCCCAAGCACCTGGCCCTTAATTTACTGACCAGAATGGCCCATGACAAAGTTCCCAGATGTTTTGTGCTCCAGGTGGATAGCTTTCCTCAAAGCAAATTTGATTAATATTTCTATCCACAGCTCCCCTCTCAAGTCCAGGCATTGTTACCCGGTCTGGCATTGAAAGCAGTGTTTGAGTTCCAAATCAGGTAGTAAAAATATGAGATGCCATTCACTCTTGATTTTACTGTCCCATTTTCCCGCAACAATAAGATCCACAGTTGAAAGAATTTTCACGATGTCAAAGGCTGCCTTTGAATCAGCCTTGTTTACTAAACTCCTCCCTGAGGAAATTGGGACAGACTCATCATTCCAATATGAACATCTTTATACAAAGTCTGTTTTCCAGATATCTTGAACCTTCCCCTGGTCCTGCTTATATAAAGTGTGAATGTTCCATGTTAATGTAAAGTATTCCCACACTCCAAACATGGAGTAACTCAAGACCCTGACAAATGTGTGTTATCCAAAATATGTTTGCAGATTTTTCCCTTTTGCCTATAAAATAGCATTAAAGGAAATGTCTCGCTCCATAAATATAACTGTCAAGTGTTTAAATGACTTACACTTCATCATCATCATCACCAAAATCATAAACTGCCTATTTTTCTCCAGGGCTGGGCTTGTAGTATACTTGGCATATTCAACAGATATTTGAGTAACACACTGAGAAGATGCAGCCGCTAGGTTTTTATCAACCTTCCCTAAAGGGACCAACATCTAGTTATTTCCAGATATAATTTCTATATTAGAAGTGTGAAGGCTAATTTTATGTGTCAACTTGACTGGGCCATGGGATACCCAGATATTTGGGCAAATATTATTTGTTGTTTCTATGAGGGTGTTTTTGGGTGAGATTAACATTTAAATTGGTAGACTGAGCAAAGCAGATTGCTCTCCATAATGTGAGTGGGCCTCATCCAATCAGTTGACAGCCTGAATGCAACAAAATATCTGACTCTCCACTGAGTAAGAAAGGATTCGTCCTTCCTGAAGGCCTTCATACTGGTACCTTGGCTTTTTCCCGCCTTTGAAGTTGAACTTAAATATTTGCTTTTCCTGAGTCTTGAGTCAACCAGCCTTCAGACTGGAACTACACCATCCATTTGTTCTCTTGGTCTCCAGCTTCACCAGCTCACCCTACAGA